CCGGCCCCATATAAACATTGCTCTCGTCACCCCTTCTTATTAAAAAAAAAAACAATATTGCTTCTATTATGGGTTCCGTAATTTTTTTTAACTAAAACAACTTATATATTTATTTATTTTTTATATTATAAGGTGACAAACGAGCGAACAACCACCTGAAATCCCTGAAATAGCTGACCGTTGCCCATAGACACGCAATTGCATATGCGTTGCTTACCTAAATAATGCCTTGGCGCCTAAATATTCGCGTAATATTGACTGTTTTTATAAGCGCTTAATCTAACAAAGTATTTATTTATCTGTCCTATTTTATCTGTGTTACAACAAATTTGAAAGACATTCATATATACGTTTAAAGTTTCGGTAATGCCAAATGTCAATGATTAAGCAAAGTATTAATGGTTTTTGTTGTATAAAAACGAGCCCCTAAATAACAAATGAACGCGCGAACGCATCCAAAAAAGGAACAATAGAGGTTTGACAATCGTTGAAATGGCGGCCTAATTTGACATTAAAAAACGCGCCAATTCAATTGTCGGATAATTTATCGATGTTTTGATAACAAAAAGGAGACGTTTTATTAATGATGTTTTATAAAAATTCATTCTTTCGTATTTGCAGACCATAAATAATTCTAGCTTTAGATGTTTTCACGCTACAGTTGATTTTAAAGCGGTTAATGTTTACAAATTGTCGATCTCAGCAACGTTCTGAAACCGGTTTCTGTGACGTCTTAATTAAAAATCATTCCGCTACATAAAGTTCTTGGGAGCGATGTTTTTAAATAAATTAATGTTGCATCTACATACGTATTACACAAATTATTGCCGACAACTAACGATAAGCTAATTCTCTTAGACAAAACAAAGTAACTAATAGGTTATTATTGAATTATTGGGAAATTTTTGTAAGTTTAGGTGTGGATTATTTTTTAATGTTATTTTAACAGTGGAATAGATACTTTTCAGTAATCATTAACTACTAAAAAAAGAGACATCCTAGAAAAATATTAGACTTCATCATCAGCTCACTATACGTCCACAAGGAGGGGCTCGGAGCCTACACTAAATCAAGGGTAACTAGGCCATAGTCAACTACTCTGGCCAAATGCGTGTTGGTTGACTTCACACATATCTTTTAATTTCTTCTCAGATATGTGCAGGTAGCATCACGATGTTTTCTTTCACCGTAAGATAGGTCTTTATTATAGAAACTATTTGCAGTGTTGCCATTTACAATAATTACCTCACAATACACCGTATGTTGCTAGTTTTACTAGTTCAACAGAAAACTCTATAATCCAAAGATATTAAGTAAAGTTTTAGCAATAACTAGATGTCGCCCGCGAATCCGTCTGCGCGGAATTAAAAAAAAATATTAGTAGCCTATGTGTTCTTCCAGAATACGTTCTACATCCCTGCCAAATTTCATCGACATCCGATCTGGAGATACCTTCAAACAAACATCCATCTAAACATTCGCATTTATAATATTAGTAAGATCTTACAAAAATCTTATTATAGAAAATGGGGTTGATACTTTACGACCGTTTAATACTGCCATATGTGGGGTCGTAACTAACTCACAGAATGGAAACGCGACAAATAAATCCAATATCTGTTTAATAAATATATGTAAGAATTTCACGGGTCATTTAGTCGATGCTTTGATTTATTGCATATTTTGCTAACCCTATAACGAAATAATAGGCTATTCATAAACGATTTTGTACCCTTTACTTTATTTTTTATATACTTGCATTTTGTTTTGCAAACATAAACAGGTCTGCTTTGGGCTAAATAAAATTTTTCTTTATTTCGCTACGAAGTTAGAAATAAATAACTAACAATTATGAAAAACAAAAATATCTCTATTGCCGTCGAATATAAAATTCTCGTGTCACTATTTTCGTTCTCATACTCCTCCGAAACGGCTTGACCGATTCTCATGAAATTTTGTGAGCATATTGAGTGGGTCTGAGAATCGGCCAACATCTATTTTTAATCCCGCGCGTACGGAGTCGCAGGCGACAGCTAGTATGTTATAAACAGATTGTATTTACAAAATATATATATATATACATACGCGTATTTGTGCCGTTCTAAACAAACCTAGTTAATAGTTTGGGCTTATAAAAATAAGAACGCGTCGAATACTGGCCGAAATGAAATTTCTGAACGCTGTTAGCCGCTGTCAGTTGCCCGCGAACACTTTGATTGACGTTCCCGCGTACCTCAGTTTTTTTGCAATAAAACCGGCTCCGTAGTACACCGTCGACAATCTAATCGTAAGTCCAATGCCAAAAGTCATGTTCAAAAACACATTTTCATCTTATTTAAAAATGAACGAACAAATGCTTTACTTGACAATACTTTTAACAAAAAAAAATTGTCTTTAAAATCAAAACACGATATTACTATCCCTTCTGTTTAAGGCAATTTTAATTTAAAAAATTAATCCCTACAATTATAAATCGCTAGATATAAATAAAATATACTCCATCTCTGTTTAGTGCATAGCCCCATCTCGCTCCAAGAACATATGTCGTTACGCCGCGTGCACGTCACGTGACCACTTGCGAGGATTTTCTATGCATTTGTGCGTTTATTTTATCGGTTTGGCTATAATGCGTTTGATGTGGGGGCATCTCATTGTATTTGCTGGATTTTTTAATTTTATGACCAAACGAGTTGGCAAAAGATTTTTGAAATGAGATCATACACTGTCTATGGCAGAGCTTTAGAAATTTTATTCAAGCGTTATAAGATTTGTTCGTTCAATCTCTGATCTTTTAAATTTCCTGGTCTGGATAGATTATTAATTCAAATCACTGAAAGGCATGAGTAAACCCAAAGGTCATCTTTTTAACAACTTATAATACGACTAGTAAGAGTTGTAAGTTATAGTCATAGGTTTGCAACAAGATTGTTGTATCTTCATTTTGACCGGGTACACTCCGGTGTACATATCCAAAACCAAACATGAACTAACGCAGTAATAAAATCCCCGAAGGAGGAATAACATTTGTTTATTTAATTCAATAGCTGCGAGTGAAGGAGTCGTAAGTGAGAGCTTGTTCAGTAATCGGCTCGGGTCTCGGGGGGCAATTTGTCGCCGCATGCTCGTGACGTCAGCCGCGTGGGCGACACGCGCGCCACGTGCACGTGTCGTCTGCGCGCGATCGACCCACATGTTGACGTTTGATGTTTTCGCGCCATATTTTATACGTCAAATTAACTTGCTGCAGATTATAAAGATGTTGTAGAAAATGAAGATTTTTTTAAAGAAATGATTCATGATTTTGATTTTTACGGTATAATAACGGATTTAGTCGACTTTATTACTACTATATATGAGGTACGGTGATTATATCTCTAACCGGTTGGTTTCTGAATAAATATCCGTGTATTAATATCGTCATCTCTGTCATTACTTTTGACAAAACAGAGATAACAATAGTTTTTAAACGAAGATTTTAGTCTCAAGCATGGTAAGCAAAGGTAAGGTATGGTACTTATATCATACAAGTTCTGTACCGTTTTATAAATTACTTCTTAAATTTTCTTATAACCAAAAAGCAAAATTACCGGAATGAACTACTAAATTTTGTTTTGTTTTTTATATCATGTTTCAAAGGTTTTGGGATCTAACAAATCAAAGTCCATACACGGGGCGTGAGGTGGAGGCGCGAAAACGTTATAAATAAGGTGTACTGCGTTTGACGGAACGTTAATGTGACCATATGTACATCATACATCAGGACATTTTTTTCCTTGTTGATCATCATCATCATCAGCTCACTATACGTCCCCACCGAGGGCTTCGGAGCCTACCCTAAGTTAAGGGTGATTAGGCCATTGTCAACCACGCTGGCCCAATGCGGGTTGGTTGACTTCACACATATCTTTGAATTTCTTCTCAGATATGTGCAGGTTGCATCACGATATTTTCCTTCATATTGTTTGATATTATGTTTATCCTTTTTTAATTTTGATGTTTTTAAAATAAAATGCATTTAACGGTTTTCATTTCCATTTATTTCCACATAAAATTTATGACACAATATTTAAGGAGTATTGAAGGCTTAACCGAGCTTATTTATTTAGTTTATATACTTATATATACATATAGGTTATATACAGATTAATTGTAGATTTACATAATATTTATTACAACGTGTGGTGACACTAGTTTTATACTTAACATTTGGTTTTAATTTGTTTATTTGGTAAATCTCTTGGTATAATGTTTCGGCGACAAAAAACCTCTTTTAAAAAATATTCCTATCTCTGTTTTTTTAAAGATAATGACAGGGATGGCGGTATTTTATCCAGAGATTTTGGTGTGAGAAACTAATGGCCAGCAACATAAAAAAAATTAAAGAAAAAATACAGATAATTATTTGAATTTCGAAATAATAATTTTGAAATTTTTATTCCTTAGTATTAAAAGTATTTTATTGTATAGAGTCCAGTGCTTTTCTTTATATTTAAGAAGTAAGAAATTGTTTTTAATTTTTTAAAGTGCAATATATTTCTAAATGGCCATGATTATTAATAATATTAAATTTAATTTCCTATACAATGATTTTTATGTACAATTTTAGGTTTACAGTAATTATTATGAAACTTACTTTAATAGAGATGAAAATATGCTAAGCAAATTATAAATTAATGGGACAAGGGGACGGATATATCTATATAATTTAAAAGGAATTTGTTACGATTACAAGAAACTTATAATAATAATATTTTTTTTAAATTGTTAGGGTTTTAAATTAAAAATTGACAAATTAATTAACAGTTCATAAACGTTAAATAAGTTACAAATTATTTTCTCGTTTATATTTAACGCGATAATGCTTCTGTATTTTAATTTGTTATTAGGATGAATTAATTGTGAAGCTAAATACAATTTTTATATTACATTACGTTGCAGATTATTAAATAACTTAAATTGAAAATAATTTACATTTAATAATCTTAATTATCTAAAACAGGTCATGTTACATTTATTTCTTCGTCAGAGGCGCTCGCGTCACTGTCAAAATCATCACCGTCCTCCATGTTCGAATAATTTTCGCGGGGAAACATTTGACCAGTCGCCATTTTGTCTTCATAACGGTAACTGTCATTTTGACTGGAAGATGGCGCGAACATTTTGTTCTTTTCATCACACTGGTCTTCATTTATTGGGGAAAGTGGAGACATTTTGGATTTATCAGCCTCAGCATCGGATAGATCTGGATGTGGGTTGTTCTTGTTGGGTAAAGTCTGTTCTCTTGAACCGCCCGAAGCTAAGAGCTCGCGTTCTTTAGAGTTGCGCCATTTCATGCGACGATTTTGGAACCAAATTTTTACCTGAGAATAAAAAATATTTAAAGTTATATATTTGGTTGTCGTTGATGGACATTGGACGTACTTTAAGCTTAGTAATTTTTAAATTAAGACTTAAGTTTAGAAACTTTTTTGGAGTATAGAACATTTTAACAGTGGCAGAGCCCGCTTTAACATCTTCGCATGAATCGGCCCGGCTTGCCCGGTGAAATACCACGACCACACAGAAGAAAGGTGTGAAGTGGAAGCAATTCCGCGTTTCGTCTGATGAGTGTGCGTCCCGGAGGCCAAAATTAGTCCTCTTTCCATTCCCACCCTTTTTCTTATAAGGAAAGGATGGGAAGTGGAAGTGGACTTTCCGGATGAGAGGATGCATGGAAAGGGAAAATATTTTCTTTCTGTGCATCCTCTCCCCCGTCGATCAAAGGTAGGCAACGCATATGCAATTGCGTATGTCTATGGGCAACGGTCACTTCGCTATTTCAGCGATTTCAGGTGGCCGCTCGCTCGTTCGCCACCTTATGATATAAAAAAAAACTGTTTTTTTAGTACACTAAAGTCATAACATTACGTAAAACATGTAACTATACAAACAATGAATAGATGGCGATAATAATAAAAAAAACCAAGTCATTATCGTTAAAATTATCATTAAAAAGGGCGCGAAAACCATTTATATTTTTTTACTCCATCGATTCCTCATTTTCGCCAATTTTTTTGTGTGAAATCCTAATATTTTTTCGGAATAAACCGTATCCACGTATTGTGTTGCTGCCAGAGCATTTTATTGATGGTGGAAGGCGTGGCTGTACGCGGGTGTTCCTGTGCCTCGCAAGCGAAAAAAAAAAGTTGGCTTATTTTTGCTTTTGATTAACAATCTGTAATGTCAGGGGCGCGAGAGAATTTCATAGTTAAATATCATCGTTTTTTTTTTTAATTTAAAAATGCACAAAGGATTACTTTTAGGTAAAGTTTTATAGCATAGGAGGAACAAGGTCTTTGAAGTCACAATAAGGACTTTGAGTAAAAATAAAAAAAGACATAGAAATAAAAGGTAAATTTTGATATTAGACTGTTCAATCGCATGATTAGGTAACGCAAAACGTCTTTCCTCAATTTTAACTATAACATAACTAATTGAGGTGTCCAGTAAAAATCTTACTTCTTACTACATTTGTAATTTCAATTACAAATTGCAGTGTCTGTCTGTATATTTTTGTACTTCTTTCTATTAGCAACGCATAACGGTCGTGACGTCATGTACGAATGAATGACGCATGTCATCATCGCCCACAAATGAATGGCCGAATATGATAAATCGTTCAATATATTTTTGTCATTGTCACCAGGTTTATTGCGTGACATATTCATTTTGCGTTATGCAGTTTTATTTTTTTGTCTAGAACTCATTCTATATAAAAAAGCAAATATTAAAATGTTCCTATTATTCTTTCAAGCTAATTGATAGGATAAATCCCTGAATGTTACAATGTTTTTTTATTATTTAATGATAATACTGGCCGTAATATTAATACAAGAAGTTTTGATCAAGAAGTTCATTTAAATCGTAAATCCTTAGCGTAGTTTAAAAGATACTGTCAATGCTTTAAAAAAATAAATTATAACTTTCACACATAATCGTGGCTAATGCGTCGAGTTCCTATATAAAAAAAAAAGAATATCCGAAACGGAAATGACAAATCGTATGGCGCGATCCGCCGGAACCAATTGGTTACCGAACGATTCGCGCCTTCGCGCCGAGCACGTCATTTGTCAAACTTTTAAATATCGAACGATCGATTTCTTTTATTGAATCTTTGTTCAGAATTGAATCGTTAAATGGCGTAATCGTGATACGTCAAAAAATTAAAATTGACGATTGATAATGATGTCAAAAAGGCAGATGTTAATGTATTGTAGAAAGTAACACGAATTAAGATGTTTGACTAAAGATATTAACAGATTTTAATGTAGGGTCCATGAAGCTATAAGATGGATTTTGACCCATTTTTTTTTTCAAATTATTTATATAGACATGTAATGTATGGTAATAGTTTTAAAACTACTTTAAGTCTTCGACTTTGACTCGCATTAAATATCGATTTTTAACGAATAAAAAGTAAGAAACCCTTTATTATATTGTCTAGGTCAAAGTTAACATTCTATCTTCTTTTATGGCAATACTCTTCTTCTCTACCATCAGGATTCAGGCGAAAAGTTAGAAAAGCAGGTGGGAAAGAGATAGCTATAATTTATAACAGTTAAGCGATTATTTTAACAAAACAAACTAGGATTGCGGTGGGTCCGCAATTTATCAGCGATATAAAACAAGAGCGCCGTCTTGACCGCGGAGGCAGGGACGACACGTTGCGCTGAAGGGCCGCGACAATACGCCGCCGGCAGCTGACGCCAGCCCCTTTTACTTGCTAGTGTTGTAGTGCAATATCGATAAAATAAAATATTTCATAAATAAAATTATAAGATGTGAAAGATACCATACGACCAGCTTTGAGTTCGCAAAGGATGATATTGAAATTAAAACGCAACAAGCTAGAGAAAAGTAATAATATGTATTTTAAAAATATTATTTTGACCTGTCTTTTATGACGGTACCATTTTACCCGGGTACTAATAATGCGTTTTTCAAGACTGTTCATTTTTCTTACTGTTCTCTAAATATAGTCGGAGTTATATGGCTTTTAACGTCAATAGTTAGTAATATTTTAAAATTGTTATTCCTTAGTATTTGAGAATTTTAGTCAATTGCTTTTATTTCTATTAAAGATCTTATTATCACAAAGTAGTTCGCTGTCACATAATTGTAAAAAAACATAGACGAAGTCTATTACTAGAGTTATAAGTAGAAATATCGATAATTGCACAAAGGATATCGATATAGTTACATAGCAGCACTATCAAGAGACGAGGGTTTGCCTGAGAATTAATTACTTTTTGACATATTCACTTTTATTACAATTTATACGGAATAAGTGATACTGAGCGGATGATTGGGGTGCGGGGCGGGGCCCGGGGAGCAGCGACAGTACGATATGACACATATCATGTGTTGCCATTAGACAATTTGTTTTCAATTTATTTAGAGAATAAAAGAAACGGTAAGATTTTTTTAAAATGTGGTTTAAACTTGTAACTATGATGAACTTTAATAATATTTAAGAACGCCCTAAACTCCTCATGTGAAATAAAACAATGTGAGAATAAAACTTAAGTGATTTCAAAATCTAATTTCTATTTAAAAAGGTACTATTAAACTGTCGCTTCTTTGCGTTTGGTGACGCAAGTTTGTAACGTATATTTAGCGCAATATGCAAACATTGCAAATGTCAAAGGCACATCGTTTGTGAAACATTTTAAATATAACAATAAAACGATAGGGTTGTAAACATGCATTGAAATATTTAAATTTAAAATTGTATTCAAATTAAATTTATTTTAATTTCTGTACTGTTGTACAAATAGAATATTGACATATCACAGATAAAAAACAAACATGCAATGTAGTCCTGTCAATCATGGTGGCTGGCCGAAAACCGCGCCAACAAAAAGTACGCATTCAAAATAAATAAATGCTAATATTTGAAATTGGAACGCCGTGAATGTAAACACGGGCCCCGTTTGAATATTCATTCTAATATGAATATTTCAAATTTCGAATGCGAGTCCGAAAATCAGATTCATGGGACGCGAATTCGTTGACGTTTAATAAAGAATTGTCTGTTATTCACTAAACATATAACAAAATAAGATGTTAGCTAAATAGTATTTAACTTACGAATAAATAAGAACGAATATATCAACATTCTTAATAATTTTCTTTAGTCAATTGAAGAGGAAGATAAAATATTCCTATATATTGCTGTTTCTCTTTATACCAATTGGGTTACAAAAGATAAGGCTTATTATCTCAACTCAACCGAGTTATCAAATTACAAACAACGTAATCCATAAAAATATATTCGAAATGTCCAACAGTAGACCTAATACGAAAACATTCAATAAAAGCTAAACCTGCTCACAAGTATGCTATAAAAATCAGATATCGTACAAAAATAAACCGTTTCCGAACACAAATAAAAAAGGTTAAAAGCCCAACGACCAATGCGGGCCCGGGCAACACTTTTATTCAATACAAAGCGTCCAATAGAAGGGTCGGGTAAGACGCGCACCTACGTTATGCCCGTCTCTTTCGTGCCCACCCATCCCCAACCTCCCTGCACGGGATTCAGTCGTCTTGAGACACAAAATGATATTTTGTATATTTATGGCGTCATTACGTTGTATTTTCTTTTTGTTTCGCGCGCCATTTTTGCGGCCGTTACGTTTTATTGGTTTCAGAACGATAGGTCGAATGTTTTTGGCGGGCAATTTTCTGCGCGCCACATTTTCATACGTTTTATTTTCTTTATAATATACCCTTTTTGTTGTGCTTATTGAGATGTGAAAAGGGATATGAAGTTATTTACGGAGTTTTATTATCGTAAAAGCATTGTTAGTATGTAACTACTTTGTTTTTTAAACAATAATTTCGACATTGCATTTGCATGCTTGATCTTATGTTAAAATTATTTTTCAAATACAGATTAAATAAACATGATATTTGACATTTGTTTAATATTAATTAACACTGGCCATAAAGTTTAAAAACACACAATGGTTGATTTAATCTGTGATTAGGGGTATCGTTTGATTCGTAATAGTAGGCGGGGAGTCGGGCCGGGACAAAGAGGACAGATAATTAGAGTGGCTTATCGTACTGATGAGAAATGCCGCCTAACAAAACCATAGTTAATAGTTAATTGTCGGGTTAAATTTGCTTTCTCTTAATAGTAGTTCTAATGTTAAAACTTGTGTTTTATAATGTAATTTTAGTGACTGGAGTGAAGGAAAAAATTAATTATCAATGTTACCAGTTAATTTATTAAAAAATTAATTACAAAATGTCCGAAATTTTATCCCTTGTTGAAAAGTTACTGATATAGTTAGAACAGCCAATTTAAAAATTATGCCAAGCTTTAAAGTAATTAAAAAATGAAATAAACACCACATCAATTAACTTTAAGCTAAAACACCCGTGTTAAAAAACAAACAAAAACTGTCAAAAATGGCTCCACAGTCGCGCTGAAAAGGCGAAGGCAACGCCACCCTTTCAGCCGACAAAAAGACCTAATCGAACTCTATGGTTGCACGCACAGATTCAAAATGCAAATATCGAGTTCAGGAGCCGGTAATTGTTTTAAAGCGTCCTTTCCCGGGCGCTAGGGGCGGAAACATTCCACCCCTAGCCGCCTGCGTCTGACAGACCCCTCCCTTCTATTATACCCTTGGGGTAACAATTTTTTGTAACACCCCAGTTACTACTTCCCCTAGAGGCGCACGTTTACCGGCGCGTTTCAGTTCCGTCATCTTTTACTTGCGGGTTAAGATTGTGTTTTGTTCTGCTAAAACCTACCTTGTTATATTTTTTAATTACTGTTTTATTTATTTTTATTTTTTTTACCTATATCTGCAGACTAATAAAAGACAGATTGTTACTTGAATATAACTAAAATTATCCTCTACGTAGTTAAAGTTAACAAATCTGCTTGTTTTTTATAATTATGAAGTGCATATTTCAACATAAAATTATGTAATAAATATTTATCAATTAGAAACATACCTGACTGTCCTTCAAGCCTAATTTCTCTGCTAACTTCTTCCGGTCTGGCTTGGAGATATACTTCTGGACCTGGAAGCGTTTCTCCAAACCTTTTCGTTGCAGATCTGAGAAGACAGCGCGTCGCATCATACCACGTCGTGGTTTACCTTAAAAATATATAACATTTTAACAACTGTCACATGGTAGAAATTTTAAAATCGCGTTTAATTATTTTTTAAAGGATTACTTATATTGCTGAAGTTTCAGAATACTTATGAAGGTGTAGATACAGATACAGTTTAACAGTGGTAGAGCCCGCTTTAACATCTTCGCACGCATTGTCCCGTCTCGCCAGGTGAAATACCACGACCACACAGAAGACACGCGTCAAGTGGAGGAAATTCCGCGTTTCGTCAGATGAGTGTGGTACCGTTTTACTATTTATTTTTTCGTCGCTGACAAAGCCTCAACAGAGATATGTAGTTGCTATTAAAGTATTAATAACTTCAATTCACCTCTCGAACTATGCGCCCAGGGGAATCCTCCAGGAAGGGGAAAGACTTGTGTATGCGCTTGCGTCGGTCGTACTGTGAACAATAATTTCTCTGTTATTAATGTAATAAAATGTAACCTATTTGATAAAGTTCCTCAGCCAAATCAAATGAATCTTGATTCAAATAGCACTTATTTAACTTTAGAAGAATCATATCTAAAAATTACGTAGCCCACTATATATCCCCACTAATGGGCTCGTAGCCTACACTAAGTTACGGGTCACTAGGCCTTAGTCAACCAGGCTGGCCCAGGGCGGGAAACTAGTACAGATACTAAGACTGTCTAATAGTAATAAAACATCTATATCTAAGCTACTAGCTGGTTTGTTAAAAACAACTACAGGTATCTATTATCTTATCTTACTATTTTCGTAAATGCGAATGTTTAAATGTATAGATGTATGTAGGAAGTCATCTGCAGAACGGCTGAATGGATCTAGATCAAATTCGACGTAGATATAGAACACGGAATAATAAATTGGCTACTAATTAAGTTTTTTAATTCTGCGCAGACGGATTCGTGGCCGACGGTTACTAAGGCAATAAATTCTAACAACATAAATATGAACTCCTTAGTTTTTTATGTATTTTTTAATAACTTACTTATTCAAATAAAGTAATAGTTAACTAGAGTTAATTAACTTAACTTATAACAGAATTATTAGAGTTGGCAAAAGTAGACTTATGTGGCCGAATTTGTTGTCGGAAATGCCAATTAGATTTTTTTATCTAAAAAAGTTTAAAGATGGAACATAAGAAGCTGGCTGCTTTTAACAATTGTATTCATTCTTTTTTCAAATTCGCACAATATAATTGAATGAAATCGAGCAAAAAAACGTTTTTGGCGCATTAGCAATTGGTAAATTTGAGGTTATGATATTGCTGAATAGCTTCTTTGTTGTATTGTTAGTTTTTTAAAATAGATATTGAAGATTGAGGCAAAGGTAAACAGCTTTATGCCACTCATGTCTTATATCTGGACATAAATGTTAATTAAAAATAAATCGTCCGGTGAATTTTTTTCATCGCATATTAAACTTGCAGAGGTTATGAATTTTCTTCTATGTAAATAAATTACAGATTACTAATTATTGGTTCCTTTATTTAGTTGGATAAGATTTCAAAGATTTTTCACACAGCTCCGTAAGTCACCTACTGACTTGGCGACTTTAATTTCAAGCAAAGAAATCACAGTACCGAAAATGTTAATAATTGGCAAAACTCACCAGCTAGATAGGGATGGTGACAATGCGCGAGAAGATGCTGCAAATGCTGATGCTGCACTGGAATCGGTCTGCTGGCGATTGGCTTCGCGATCGGCCATGGGTTGCCCATCATCGGTTGTCTGTAGTCTGTAAATAATTTGAAATTAGACTTATAAATACGAATGTTTAGATGGATGAGTGGATTGCTAAATGACCTTCAGAACGGTTGCATGGATCTCGTTAAATTTGGCATAGATGTAGAACATAGTCTGGATGAACACATAGACTACTAACTATTTTTTTTAGGTTTGGACGGATTACGAAGCGACAGTTAGTTTATAATATGACCAATAATACAACTTCTACGATATTTACAGATTAATACTTATTTATATCCTATATTCAAGACTAGTTAAGTTAAATTAGTCTAGAATATTAAATTAAACAAATGTAATGTTAGCTACAAACATCTAAAAAAATGTACTGAAATCAGAATAACATAAGGTGGAAAGATGAATGCTGAAAGACATGGGAGACTGGCAAGACTCTGACGACGTCGAGGACCGAGGGTAGTGGACGAGACTAACAAGAAAAGCTGACCCCACCACCATATAGATTATGAGCTAGACAGAGAAAGAGAGAGAGAGAGAGAGAATTATAACATAAGGGAGATATAAAAGTGATTGAAATCTCATATTAATAGACGAATCAGTTTTATTATATGATGTAATTAAGTCGACTCGTGTAGACTCGATTAACTAAAGACGCCTCAGCTCGTCATAAAACCGTGCAGTTCTACGCTAAACACCCTAATCGTATTACAACGCCATTACAAACAGTACCGGAGCCTGTTCTCGATTGTTTGTCTTGGTACAAGGCATAAGCGGTAGCGATTTCTACATCTTACCGTAACAAATCAATAAGTGGTAGCGATTTTACATATATCTAACAGTGAATCTCTGTATGTCTGTATCTGAAATCCGTGTATTAAAGCAATTTACTGGACAGACGTGGACCTTTTTACTGATAGACGGGACATCACAGTTATGACCTAAAAGAAAAAGAAGTATACGCTTTGCTTTTCAATCATAGACGACAAGGGTTTCTAATATTGCCCTAAACTGATGATTATCTTATTAATATACTTCCTACAAGCAATGACTACAGCTCAATTAAGTAACAATAAAAAAGTATTAAAAATAATTAAGATTTAGAGTTTCTTATCGCTTTTAGCTTGGACCACAGGTTATACACCCCTGCGATTTCTTACCACCCCGACTGTCAAAGCCACACCCGCCCTAATATATTGTATAGCCTTTGTAATGCCATTAATCACGTTCAAAGCATTTTGTTTTTGACTCTCCGGTATTAATTTAAACTACCTATGCTGATACGGCAGAGACGCGGCAGGCGCGAGAAGCTCACTACAGTTTGCTTAATATACAGGAATATGCTTACAGTGTTTTATATTTAATTTATTAAGCTCGAACCTTATTTAGTATTAATCTAAATAACATTAAAATTAAGATTTTCATTACTTTGTACAGTAAACATAAAAATGCATCAATTCCATACAAACTTCTAACCACCTTTTCAATCCCTTACCAAGGGTTTTTCGCGTATACAAGTGGCCTATGTACTTCCCCAGGCTCTACACTATATGTGTACCTAATTTCATTTAAATCATTTCAGTAGTTTTTGCGTGAAAGAATGACAGACAGACAGCCAGAGTTACTTTCGTATTTACAATATTTGTAAGGATTTGTTCGAGATTTATGGGTTTGGCTTAACAACTGACTGATAAGAATCATTTCTTAAAACATTAGGACAATGTCTGCGGTACAGTGATGTTATTATTATAATTGACGCTCGTTCTATTCTGATTTTAATGAGTGACGTGCTTTCAAACTGTAATCTTCTGTAGAAGTTAAACAGGTAGAGTCGGGTCAATAGTTTATCATTTTCTTTATTACAATTTTTAAATCTCTTCATCATCATCAGATAACTATAGTCTCCGCCGAGGGGCTCGGAGCCTACTACGAGACAAGGCCATAGTCAACCACGCTGGCCAAGTGCAGGTTGGTTGACTTCACACTTTGAATTTCTTCTCAGATATGTGCAGGTTGTATCACGATGTTTTTCTTCACCGTAAGAACGTCGGATAAATGTCGCAAAACATATTGGTACATAGCGGGATTCGAACCCTGCAAATTGCAAGTCAAGTGCTTGACCGCGGAGCCATCGATGCTCTCGTTAAATCTCTTACTTATTATTAAAGTTCAAACTCTACCTCAAATACTCAATAAATAGACATAGTTCTATGAATAAGCGGCCGAAACAAAATCTTTATTTTAAATATTAAAATTGTTTGTTTTTTAATAATCTTTTCGAGCGTACCGATTAACATGGGAAAAAAATTAAGTCCGCTCCTAATACGAAATAATATTATAATGAAAAGGGAAAACCCGAGAGCCCTCCGAAGATATTAAGGGCTAAGGGAGGCGTCGCGGCGGAAAAGTTCGCCCTCGAGCGCCCGCAGCGCCCTCTACTTAAGCCGACGCTGATTTTAATTATTTTATTAATTGGAGATAAGTACAAATGAAAGGAAATGTCTACATATGATTGTTGTTTACTTCCTCGTAATACTTAAACTGTTTAGGTTAATTTAATTGTTCCTAAACACTCAAATGAAACTAATCTTATTTAAATAACTAGCTGTCGCTCGTGACTCCGTCCGTGCGGAATTAAAGAAAAACAAAACAAGTAGCTTATGTGTTCTTCCAGACTATGTTCTACATGTGTGCCAAATTTCATCAAAATCTGTTAAGCCGTTCTGGAGATACCTTCAAACAAACATCCATCCATCTATCTAAACATTCGCATTTATAATACTAGTAAGAAGTATAATGTAATATCGGATATACTGATTTCTTATAGCTAATAACTTTTATAATATCTTGGTTTCTTAAAAAGCAGGGATATATTTAAATTCTTAGATTAGTTAGTATTTGTAATAATTAAATCAATAATATCCCACGAAACTATTAAAAGCAAACGAGTAAAATAAATTGAACAAAAGAGGTTGTTCTCAAAATCTCTACAAAGGCCATTATTACGGTTAATCAAATTTTTGAAAGTAACGAATTGAGCATCACAGAGTAAAAAAACAAGAACGCACACTTGAGACAACAACGTTACGTATAAAAAAACCTTAAATCCCTTCTCGCATCATTTCGACAATGCGATCGCAATAAAATACTCACCATAATGCCAACCTAACAATAACTAAATCTTTACCAAGATAAACAAGGGTAAAAACGAAGACTCATACAATAGACTGAATATTTTTTATCCTACACTGACTTACCCCAATTTGTTAGGGATTTGTATTAAAATAATATTAGCCATGAATGCATTGTTTGGACATGTTTTTTAATAACTGTTTATTGTTGGGCTTTCGTTTTATAGTTTATTTTATACTGGCAACATTTGTGTCACGCCCACAGACTATTCAACAGACTATAAATTTGTTTTATTGCATTTGTCAATAAAAACTTTTTGCGACTTAGTGACCAACTATTTGTAAATAATATTGCGTTAATCTATAAAATAACATGTGTTCAGCAAAAATAGATAAAAAAATAATCAACGTGCATTTATTATTTCCTAGTATAGTTTAGTTATTAGGTTATTTTAGTTGATATTTGATGGTTGACATTATGAACATGGCGGTTGGTTTGGTAATTACGGCTCCCACCTGCGGCAAGCCGACAGATAAAACATAATATTGTCATGCACACGACACGCCGCTGCCGCAACATCGTGTTTACATATTATGTTTAATTGTTACACTATGAGTAACATAGTTTCATTTATAGGCTTATAAAAACTTTATGACGTTTTTAAATTGATTCAGATTTATGTTAACTGGGGCCAATGATTTGTTTGACCAATAGTTGAGTTTAAAATATGTTTAGTATTAAAATACTTTTAGATGTATGGATGTTTGTTAGAAGGTGTCTCTAGAACGCATGGATCTCAATGTAATTTGGAATAGATGTAAAACATAGTCTGGAAGAACACATAGGCTATTATTTTTTTTTAATTCCGCACGGACGTAGTTGCGAGCGGCAGGTACGTTTCAATAAATATTAAAATCTTTTTTCTTCTTTTAACACTTGGCTACCCTGAAACTATTCGTTAGTTTTATAACCTTAAATAAAACAAATTAGTTTACTCATTTCTAGTTAATATTTGTCCATCTACATATATTTTGTCAAATATTTTAATAAGACTCGAGCCTAGAATTGAATTGGTGATTAAGAAATATCTCTCATCTAAATACTGCTTACTCTATAGAGAAGAAAAATAATATATATTTTAGTGTTGTACATTAATTAAAAATAAAATTTATAGCTGTTATCCCGATGCAATAAAAAGCCGATTTACCGTTAAATAATAACTCAATAACGAATAAACAGCGAAATAATCAACGGCGAAAGCAATAACAGCGTTATTTAATTAACTGCTATTCGGGGAACGATCGACTGGGCCATTGCTCGGCGCGGCGGGCGGCGGCGGCTGTCACGGCGATTCGGCGCCAATTTTTACGCGGGAAAGTGTGAAAATAATTGATTTCGGAGGGGACCCCTTCGGTTTATTGAAATCTGTTTTCGGCCTCGCAAATTGCATTAAGAACTCTCATGGATGGGACTCGATTGGTAATTTTTAAGTGATATTGTGCTTTTAATGTCACATGAATTGACTTCAAATGTGTAGATAAAACATATCTTACTAATATAAATGTGAATGTTTAGATGGATGGATGGATATCTAAAGGAAGCGAATCGGCTGCATAGATCTGAAATTTGGCATAGATGTAGGACATACCGTGGAAGAACACACAGGCTACTAATTAAGTTTTTTTTTTAATCCGCGCGGACGACACCAGCTAGTTAATAAAAAAGCTTGTAACTTATCTTTATCCAATATAATTATCAAACTTTAGAAACAAGATAAACTGCGGCACTCATAAACTAAATCTAAACTAAGGATCTCCCTTGTTGTCCCTAAACAGTAAATCTTTTTAAAATGCAAAACTTATTAGTGAAAAAAAAACATCAATAACAGACAGCCAGTATC